AGGTGAGAATGGAAGAAACTTACTTTGAGAATGCCCTTTTCCGGGTCTGAAGCTATATCGGGAATAGTGGAACCCGCCATGAGATGGAACAGATTTAAAATAAGGTTGCTTGATTTCCGGAGAATGTTGTAGGCTTCACAACAGTAGGATTTGAACCTTGTGTAGTATTGGCTGCAACACATAATACACAGTAGCAAACATTTCAAGTCTGATGCTACAATTCTCAAGAGCAAAAATATTCATCAAGTTGTGTAATTTCACGGTACCTTTCTGCTCCGCCCATGGCTTCCACCATTTCTTTGCAGAGTTTCATAGGTGGAGGAAATGGTTTAGGATCTCTACCAAGAATAAATGCGAAATCAACGTGGAAAAGACGGCCATCATCTGTAAGGAGGAGGTTGTCCAGGTGTCTAGATATCAAAGAAAGGCAATCACAATCCGATTCAGACATAGATATATAAAGCAAGAAATTGGAAAAACTATTCGAACAACCCTGGGAAAATGCTTTGCACCCTACCTGTCTCCAATCCCAAGTATATATGTGATCACAGAATAGCCTGCACAGCTTTTTATAAATGTCTCAAGACAAGTGGCTGTTATCCCGAAAGGTGCATGCTCATCAGGATGAAACTTCTGCAAATAACTTGTTATGCTTCGGTGCTCTGAGAGAATCTGAAAATGCACAGAACACATATCTTAGGATAACGAAATTATTTACTCTCAAAATTATAAGAGGGTCGAAACTGCAAAGGCCTGCGGGGAATGGGTTTAGGTGCTTCTACTATACCTGAGCCAAAGAACGGGACGGTATGAATTCCAACATTCCTTCGTCGTGTCCAGTTGCTAACACCTTATAAGGTGTTAGACACAGATCAAGATTTTCCAGCTTTAGCAGTCTATCCATAAGCCAAACCATTTGAACAACCTATTTGAGGAGATTAAAATAAAAAATCACAACATGAACAAAAGATCTACATCATATGATGCAATGAACCTATATATACCAGCTGGTCTTGCCGGAGATCATCTCCCTTCTTGAATATAACTTTGTAACTTCCTTCGTCTTCTGTTCGGAATGTAAGGCGCAGAGGATGCAATGCACTTTTAAAGAGTGTTGATTCTCCTGCCACAATCCCCTTTATGAGAACACTAGGGGTAAGCGGTGATCGAATAGGCTGAAAGTAAACCAAATGCAATAATTAATACGAAAGGGTCACCAGAAACTTTGACACAGACATTCTTGGTTAAACATCACATTTAAAGGCATTTGTACCTCTTCAAAGTAGGTGAGTTCGCTAAGGAGTCCACTTAAAAGCTGCCTGAGCTTCTCAATTTTTTTCTGGGTGTTTCCACGTACATTCCTCACTTCTCGTGTAATGGAACATAACTGAGCAGTCAATTCTGTTTGGCGCACCAAACTTTGCCACAATTTATTTCCATCTTCTCCATTAACACCCGGCGGCAGCTGCAGAAAAGCAAATATCATTCCAGAGTCACTTTACGTATAAAGCAGCTCAATTGATTGCCCCAAGAAGGACAACAATTACACCGCAAGGTGATAGACTGTAGCTGCACAACCCTGTATATGTAGTTTTAGCAGTTTTCTTATCATTCTTGGACAACCACTACTCCTCTCACTAAAAGTATTGACTATCCTATTACATTGACTGCATCATACACTAGTTTTGCAAGAGAGAAAGTTTTGAATAACCTCACACTGTCAACCATAATCCACATCCCAAGTTCGAAAGGTATGCAATATGATTATTACAAAGAAGATAGAGGCAGGAGAAAGAATGATCGACATATTAAACTAATTTTAAGAAAAGGGGGGAAGGAAAGAGAGTAAATAAACATTAGGTCCACACCTCGATAATTTTCTCCTGAAGAAAATCAAATGTGCTGTAAAATCGCTTGGAATAGACATTGTCAAGAAATTCCACAGCGACATACCAACGAAGAAAACTGGCCAACTCAATATTCTGTAATGCTACATAAAAGAAAATAACAGAAGTCAGTCAATGTTTATTCATGGGAAAGATATATAAAACAAGTTTTACAGAGAAAACTCAGCATGATTTCATGTCTAGAAGTTCAGCACATACCCCGTTGGACAAGAAATTGACAAAGGCGAGATCTATCGGTGCGTTCAAAACGGAGAGCCTGAACCAGTTGAAGCAAGTAACACTGAAGCTCTTCATCATCAGCTCTTTCAAGGACACTCACCGCATAAGCTCGAACCTATCAGTAGGTGTAGTGAGGAATTAGCCTACATTTAAATATACCAGGATGACAGACAAGTAGATCCAGTAGATGGTTAGAAGACCAGAAGAAAAGTAAACAGGGCACTTGTAGTACCTCTTCACTTTCAAACAGAGGAGACAATAGCTCCAAAGCATCACATACATCTATCATATCCCATTTGTACATCAGTTGAACTGCTTGCTTTGCTTCCTGCCAACATGGAAGATCATGCAACATGAAAAAAAAAAAAAAGAACTATAAAAATAGATCTACAAACAAAAGATGTACGCTTACTTACCTGAACATCACTCCACTCCACGCAGCGAAGAAACTTTGTTAGAGCTCTTTTTTCAGTCATCAGAGAGAAACGAAATTTCCAAAGAAGTTGTCTTTCATCTCCACTAAATGTTCTTGTTGGCGGATATTTCAGAACTCTTTGTATGGATCTTTAAAAGAAGAAAAGAAGAAAGCATCTACACATGAGATTATATGCGACAATATTTCATAATAATACAATCAAGAGATGACAGGAAATTCTCCAAAGAATGTCACACAACTTCGATTATGCCAAAGAGAATAAAATCCAAAAGAATTGCATACTTACTTCCGCTCGTCAGAACTTGGCTTGAGATCCCTGTCGATAATGCCACGATCCAAGCTCCTTGCCAGCTTTAATTGCTTGTGCTCTGAAGGATTAATCTTTCCCAGCTCTGTATCCCAGACAGTAACAAATTCATTTCCTGAACCTATTGGAGAAGTTATCAACAAATTGGCTCCAGCCTCCTACAAT